GGCATGTAAAATTTTATTTAAAGTGCGTTTAAAAAATTATCCTTTATTTTTCGAAGCGATTTACCATAATAAATGCAGGGTATAATGTAACGGATACCATGCGAAGAGGTGTTATCGATCTGGATTTGTATAAAAATACACCGAAAGAACTACTCGTTGGGCAGATTTCCATTTTGGGAGGTTTGTAACAACCAGTTTTTTACTTGAGCACTCAAATATGACAATATGCAACTGAAAGTGTACACTCGGAGTCAGTGCAATCATCCATGCGTTACTGCTTTTATTTGTTATGGGTACAAAATTCACATTTGTGCCAGCACATGAATAAGCCGATTGCTTCGACTGGTTTGACGCACTCCGCAATCATGCACCATCAAAATTTCGATTTCGTGACTTGCATTGCACTTATAGATTAACATGATTTTGAGCGTTCAAAAAAAATACAAACGATGTAAAAGTGGCACTTATTTCTTTATTCCGCAACGGGACGCGATCACAAAAACGCTCTGCCAGAAATTGCTTCGCAGTGAATTCATAACGTAAGGTTCATTTTAACTGTTAAGTCATTAATTGGATTGCAGAAGGTCATGGCAGAGATCCCACGCACAGCCAATGACTGCATTTCCAAATTGTTAACTTCTCAGTTTGCATAAATTTAACGTTCAGTCATTCGAACAAAAACACATACACGTGCATACTTAGTTCAGTACCTCCGCAAACATAGCCCCCGTTCTGACGACGTTCGTATTTTTCGTAAAAGAGTATAACCATGGGTTAGAAATTAATACCTATTTTTTACTTTCGAGCGCAAAAGTAAGTTTGCGCGATTTCAGGTTGACTTTTTCAGGTTGCTCAGCATGGTTGCTGCTAGCAACGTTCGCCCGTCTGCCTGTTTCCACAACACACAGTATCACTGGTGCAACTGTAGGCTTTGGATTGGTCACTAGGGGAGGATATGGTATACAGTGGGCACAAATCATTGAAATTGGTGAGTAATATGAATTTTTAAGATTGAAAAACTGATAATTCTCCAGCAGCAAAATCAGTTTAAAATACTTATTAGTCTCCTCATTGTTGCATTCCGGAAGATCTCGACGCAACAGCGCACTCAGAAGGTAAAAGGAGGTGCACGAACGAGGAAAGTAATAGAGAGAACTCATGTGACTAACAAACATTGTAACCCGTCAATCAGTGAGGAAGCAAAACAGGATTAAAATTCAAGGAACTCTGAAACGAGGAAGCCAGAATTAGCCACTGCGTGCTGTTTTAGACCAGAATTTAACAAATTTCACTGAGTAGTCTGTTGCGGGAAAACTTGCAGTTTTCTGGGAACTGAAAGCTCACAAACAGAAATAAGTCTAGGCTTAAGTGAAATTCTTTGTTTTCAAAGACTGCGATATGAGAAGATGGATACGGCCCATCGCAAAAATTTTGGCAAAAAGAGGCCTCCTCTTTTTACAGTCGCATCCTGGTTCATCTCGCCCGTGCTTTCGGGTCTCGTGTCGACAGTGCTTTTCATACTGGTCGATATTGCCGTCCTAAGAAGGGTCAGTTATTATGGTTTTTCGCAAGCATTGCAAAGGCAGCCATGTGTCCGGATTGGCAGTATTTTTCTCAAAAAACTCAGTGGTGAGGAAAAAGCATGCATTGTTAAAACAAAAAGAAATAATATAGTTATGATTTTTAGAAACTGCCGTAAGCTA